GAAGATAGTCAGGCCAGCCTTAAAGGAAATGCCCACTTCACCAAAATGCCTCTCGCACCTGCCTTGCACAGCAGGCAGGAATCCAATTTTAGACATTCATTTCTTGGGCGGTGGCCCTACACTTTCCAGGCATCCTTTCTAAAACACAACTTCTGCTGGGAGGGATGACTCCTCCCAGGTTCTCAGCCTTCACATAGTGGTATGAAGTCACTTATCAAACTCCTTTCTTTGAAAATCATGCTTAAAGAAGACTTGACTTTGGAGCAGCGGTTCTCAACCTGTGGGTCGCAAGCCCTTTGGGGGTCGAACCACCCTTTCACAGGGGTCGCCTAAGACCATCAGAAAACACATATATAATTACATATTGTTTTTGTGATTAATCACTATGCTTTAATTATGTTCAATTTGTAACAATGAAAATACATCCTGCATATCAGATATTTACATTATGATTCATAACAGTAGCAAAATTACAGTTATGAAGTAGCAACGAAAATAATTTTATGGTTGGGGGTCACCACAATATGAGGAACTGTATTAAAGGGTCGCAGCATTAGGAAGGTTGAGAACCACTGCTCTAATGTATATTTTTAAAAGCTCATTTGGGCTATTCTGCAGACAATGGATTGTTGGTGGCTGAGAGTGAAAGCTAAGAGACCAGTGGTGAATACAAATGAGTAATTGGGAAAATTGAATAAGACTATAAACACACTTAACCAAGAAATTTCAAAGTACTAATCAAATGATAGCTATTAATAGGCCAATGGCCACTCATCAAGTTAAGTCAAATAATGAGACGAGTCTGTTAACAGTAGGAAAAATATGAAAGAGCATATGAAGTGCGTCTCTGAATTTTAGGTTCCTTGTCAATCAAGCAGTATACCATTATGTACTTCCTGGGGTGTTCACGAAGATGAATAAGGGTCTAGCTCACTACCTGGTCCATAGTAAATGCTCAGTCAAAAATTCGTCTCCTGTTCTACATGACCCCACAGCTAAAAATAGGGTGATATGTACATAGTCTGAGAATTCAACAAGGCTAAAACGTATGGGTTGAAGTAAAAAAAATGAAATGGAAATTAGAGACATCATATTTAATAGCCTGATCATACACAGTGATAATTCTACATACTCCCTGAATTTGCAAAGCATTTTATATACACATTCTCCTAATATTGATGGCCTTTTCATGCAAAGTAAACACTCTTAGAATGAGTGCCTTGAAATCCCTACCTTCTCAGCTGACCCTTTCTGAACCCTTTGTCATAATCCTACTTCCTCTGCCTTGGCGCTTTTCTAAGGTGACAGCTTGCTTTGGTGTCCTGAAATACTTGAATATTTTCATATAATTCTCCCTTTTTTGATGGACAGATTTATTTTCTATCATCGTTAATGAAATTTCCAGAGATAGGCTGTAGGTAGTTATGTTAGTGAGATTTATGCTTATTTCTCCTTCGCAAAGGAACCCTTTGGAGCAGTACTATGTCATTCAAAGGCACTAGAATTATGGCCATCTAGTGAAAATGCAGTCATTCCCATCTAAACTCCCCGAGACACAGGGGCCAATATGTAGAAGTTATTTCAGTAATAGTTCACATGTTCCCACCTTGTTATTTTCTTTGATTTTACTTATTTATTAATTTGCATCATGACTGGTTAAGTGTCTTGGTATCTAGAATATGAAGTATTAAAAGCCAGATGTTAGCTGGGATCTATTAAGAAGCAAAGGGTTTATACTTCACCTGAGTAACAAGATACCCCCCTTTTAAAAAAAAAATGTATTTCTACTACTGTGTACATTGTGTCTCTAATAATGCTCAAAACAACAGGATTTTTGAGTGAAATTTGGTTACACATATACCTGTACTCTATAAGTAATATCCAATTAATATCTGACTTTTAATGCTTCACATGATCTCAAAACAATTGATGAATTTTTTATCATAACACATTTACTCCAAGACTGTAAAACATTAGAGTTTTATAGTAAAGGACATTGCAGCCTTATCCAGAACTTGCCAATAATTTGTCTTCGTACCTTAGATTTTCTTACCCCCATGGATCTCAAACTCTATTGTATCAGAATCTTCTGGAGGACTTAGTAAATATACCAATGGCCGGGCCCCATCCTACTTCAACAAGCCTGTTCTCCGTGGTCTTTCATAGCACCATGGATGATTCTGATTCTCACCAAAGTTTGAGAATCATTGACTTAACCTTTGATATTTTAATTCCTCTAAAAATATATCTCATTGGTTTGATTCGGGGGGGAACCAGAGGATATAACCATTAGACATAGAAATATCAGAAAATTCCTGAAAACCATTATTAACAAGCAAACGTATGTGGAGGTAACTTATAGTCAACCCAATGAAAGCATACCCAATAGGCAGGATTTAAGGAGTCTGGTGTAATAGGTGCCTTCTCCCTCTTTGGGAATGTATAGGAATTGTATATGCACCCCCCCCCCCCGCTCCTGTTTTGGGGAGGATGAAAATCAAGAATGTTTCTTAAATAAATCCCTGTAGTTTTCCCAGGACCCAACCAGAACTTCTCAGTCCCCAGGTTTCCCAGCAGTGTCCCCAACCAAAAAACCTGCCAATTAAGCAACTAATATCATTATCATGAATGTAATTATAGATAGTAATTATGAGCCCGTAAATGCCTCCCACGAATAAAACCCTTTTCCCAAACCATCTCAGCCTCCTTTCTTAGGAAAATGGAAGGCAATCCTATCCCCTACCTCATCCCTAATACAGCCTCCCTTGTATAGAAAAAAAACCGCTCTTGCTGGCCCAGGGGAAAGGCTGTACTCTAAGGAGGAATTGTCCCCTTGAGTGGAGTCCCTTTCAGCATCTCTCATCCAAGCCTGTTCACTAGCTCCCCTCACTAGGGAGCAGTGATGACCCAGTTAGGCTGTATTTCTTAATTTCTGTTAAGGCAGAGATATTAATACCTAATTTTAAGAATTTCTGTAGAAAACACGAAATATTGGAGGTTTTACAAAGTAGCATGATGACTTTTAATATTGCTTAAGCCAGATGCAATTTACTGAGAACTTAGAGAGTCCCAGAAAATAAAGTAGACATCACAGAAACATGTATGGGTGAGGTTTTTCATGTCTGTAGAAACAAAATGAATCTCTTTGCCCAGAATTAACTCTTGCATTCAGTAACTTTATACTTAGCTCATGAAAACCTCAAACCCTTATAGATAATAGGTATTTGAATGGATTCTACATAGATATGTTGAGTCTGAAATGCAATACAATCCCCCAAGATCTCAATCTGTTTCCTTTTAATGGATCATGAGCATAAGTGCCTGTAATTGCACCAGTGGTTGGCATGGTTGAGCCCGGACCATGCATTGAAGAATGCCATATAAACTCTAAGGAGAAAGGACCCATGCTTGTTTCACTGACCTCTACAATGCCAAAAGTTCTCTGTAGAGTGCATTTTCAGGGCTCTTCTCTGAATAAGAGCAAATGTTACATCCAAAAGCTATCATATTGTATGACTTTTTTTTAAAGGGATTATTGCTTACTGGACAAGGTAGAATATTTCGAGCCACAGCATTTCCATTTACTATGACAAGGAAATCATGTGTATGACTTTATTGTTGTGTTTGTTCAAGGTCTTGTTCTGGAATAGAAATGGAGTGTGTGGGTACCAGGATTTTCACATAGTAACTGAAGACCCTGAATGGTAAATGTAACTTCCAAAAGTGACTGATAGATTATACTTTTAGAGAAACCATCCTGACCAACAAACATCAACTGAAGACATGTAGTAGCTTTAGAGAGGTGCTTTTGAAAACCTAAACTATTTTTAACCCTTGTGTTAAATAATTTAAATAACATTTTAAATGTTTGAAAATTCCCAGTACTATGCACAGATCAGAATGGACTTGTCTTTCTAATATGGATATCTATAGTCCTTTGGTAAATTCAGCATAAAACATTCACTTAAAAATTATAGTCTTTCAATCTCTGTATGTGATTGCTTTAAAAGTAGAACTGTGTTTATGTAATATTTTTTCTCATTTTGACAGGCAGTAGCCTAAAAATTTTTGGAAATATGGATGACTAGATGGATTATGTTTTTTAATGTGTATGCCTATACAAATATGTGTATTAGCTTGCTCATTTTTACTTTCCACTTTATATCCATGTACAGTATATCTTTATTAAGGGGGTAAAATTCACCACTAGGGAAGGTTAATGTGATAAAGTTTTCATTATATAATTTCCATTATTCCCCATATTTTAGAGGGCTGATCTTCAAGTCCATATCAATTGAATAGAAAAACAACAACATAATATACATCAATAATTTTCTATACCTCAACCAAAGAGATTTAGGGCTTATCAGTCTATCATTGGGACTCTTAATTCACCCCAAACTAAAGTACCACCTGCTGTCCTTCATCAGATCTCATTGCCAATTTGAGACTACATTGAAACCATGTACAAGATCCAGCCTCCTTCTTTTAGGCTAGTAGAGGTAGAAGGAAAACAAAGTTGTCACTCAGTGTAGCCACGTGAACATGTCCCACTTAAGTAACAGGGTGCCCCTCAGGTCAGCCTGCGATAAAGCCCAAGTCAAACAAGGCTGAATCCTGGATGTTTTATGTCCTACAGATCTGAAATGTCTTCATGACCAGCCCTGACCCTCCTGACCTCAAATGGTCACCTAAGCAGTGACATAAATCGGTGTAAACTTGCTCTTGTGACATTGCCGTGGAAGTGAGACAGGCGAAAGAACAGCCTTCCCAGGGAAGAACTAAACATAAGGGTTGATTAGTCTGACTGGCAGTTCAACCATGGTGGCTATATGCCCAAGGCTGACAAATTCTGCATCTTATCACTGCCGTCAAACGGAGATGCATGTGAACACCGTCAGCCCAAAAGAATTGAGAAACAACTTGCCTTCCAGCAGTGCATCTCAACCAAACCTTGACAATGCCAACAGCTCATCATCATGTATTTTTCAACCCTCCAGAAAATGGCCTTCCAGCCTGGGACAAACCGAAGCACTGTCCAGACCACGAACACGACTGGAAGCTAGTAGGAATGTCTGAAGCCTGCCTCCATAGGAAGAGCCATTCGGAGAGGCACAGCACATTGAAAAATGAACAAACATCGCCACATCTCATCCAGACCACTTGGACTAGCTCCATATTCCATCTGGACCATGACGATGTGAATGATCAGAGTGTCCCAAGTGCCCAGACCTTTCAAACGGAAGAGAAGAAATGTAAAGGTAAGCAGATTTTTACTAGACCTTATCAAGTATTTCAGCAAGGAAAAAAAAATGCTTTGTTGTAGCTATGTGGTTAGTCTTCATGTATTCCAGTGTTCAGTGCCCATGTGTTTTCTCCAACGGTTCTGTTATGAAGTTTCTTTATCCCCAAATCTTCTTTTAAACATAAATAAATAAGTGGGTTCCAAAGGGAAGCAGTTAATTTCAGTTTCATGTTGGGTTGGGGCACTTGGGGAGTTGTTTGCGTTTCTCTAATTAGCAGAAAGGTTGTTAGTTTTGGCTTTAATTCTATTTTAAAATCTGAGTAAAAACAGACATTGCTATCATTATAGAAGTACTTGCTTTGACATGTGGACATGTGTCTGTGTGTGTGTGTGTATGTTTCTTTCCCAATTGTGCCAGCAGCTAATGGGATCTCCAAGGCTACCTTTAAACTAAATAGGCAATTCGTATTCTAAAGAGAGGTTTTAAGTTGTGGGTGGTGTTGTTTTTAACTCATTAAATCCTTGTGTCATCATCCTGAAAGGCGAGATTATGGTTTTAGGAGGTGGTCACCTCATAAGAAATATGTTAAACTGGCCTAAGTTCCTGATTGCATTCGACTTAACTGGTCTTTACCTCAGGTCGCCTCCACCCTGACAGATGTCTTTGTGCTGATCGCTTTATTGTCTTAGGGCTCCCCAAAATCTTTGCTTCTTAACTTAGTCTTTAAATGTCCAAGAAAGCAATTTGTGTCTTTAAATGTCCAAGTTCATGTAACTTCCCATTTGTTTTCAATTTAGCATTTTAAAAAAAAAAAAAGGCTTTTGATTTTTTTCTTTAAGGATTTTGACTCATGATAAAATTTTAAATTGGGTCTTTGAATATTTGGCAATCACATACAAGATATGTTAATGAAAGTTTATAAAGACTCCTCTGTATGAGCCATGAAGGACTTTTGCAAACTCTTGTAACTGAGACAGAAACACATGATTATATTTACCCCTCTAAACGAAAAATGGTTGTTCTTTAGTTTTTCTGGAAACAATTCAATCGCTCCTTGGAACTACCAGTTGACCTAGGTAGTTGAGTGTACAAATTTTCAGATGAAAATAGAATATCTAAAAATAACAATAAAATAATGGTATAAGCTCTGATTGGAGAATATCCCAAACTATTTATGTTCTCTTTGTGAAGATTTGTGTTTGTCCCTTATCTGTATTATTTAGGAGATTTGGGAAATTAAAAGCAATATTTAGAAAAAAAGCAAAATATGTTTTTTTCAAAGGAGTCAGGATATAGGATAGGTGTGTCTGTGTGTATGTACACATTTGTTTGAAATATAATTGAGATTTAGTCTTAGAATTTGTAACCAGGTTGTATCTTGAATTTTGTGAGCTGGCATCAAAACTATGTCAGTACTTGGTGTACAGTGAAATGCCAACAGAAAGTGTAATGTCCTCGTGATATAAAAACCTCACTGGCTAATTTTGATTTATTCACAATTTGTAGCCATGGTCATTCATTCATTTATTCATTCAATCATAGGGACAATCTCTGCTCCATCATTTATGAGAAATATTGGCCTTGGATGTGTAGAGTCCCCTGCACCATACACTTTTCAATTTGTTCATACACCTTAAAAGCAAAAGGAAAGAGTCTTTATTTGGATCCAAGACCCTAAGTATATATAATACAGTGGTTAAGACCACATTTTGAGTCTGACATATTTGGGCTAGAATACTAGATTTGGGCTAGAATACTAGCCCTTCCAAATTTCTGTTCTTGAGCAAACTTATGTGATTCTTGATAAAATTAAATAAGATCATGTTTTTAAGCACTTAGCCTAATACCTCCCATATAGTGCTCCTTAAATAGCAGCTATCATTATGACTGTAATCATTGTTGTTAGTTCTGCATCATTAAATCACATCAATTCCTTGGGCTACACCATGTGCCTGGTAAGGACAGGGGACAGGAAGCAGGACAAATGAGTGTGGGGTGGGACAAGACATTTCAGGGAGGTTAGAGTTGATTTTGCATTCGTTCAGCTCTCTACTGCTGGAAGTCAGAGAATTCTTTAATAAGACATTATAAGTAAATATTAAAGTACTTCCTCAAGATTCTAGTATTAAAAGGAAAACAACTAAGGTTAATTCTCCCGTAGTTTCCAGACTAACCAGGGTTCACCTTGGCATGGATGTGAGCCAATGCCTTGGTTCAATATGAAAATGCCACCAGGAAGGCTATATTGTTATGGCCCAAGAACCATATTAACTGAATTCCAGTCATTCACAGTGGACACCTATTTACCAGTGAGGCCAGGAAACAATGTGATTAGTCACTCTTCTTTTTTTTTTTTTTAACTTGGTTCTTCTCCATCTGCCCTGCTCACCTGCCTCTATATGAGAGTTCTATTTTGATGTCCGTCCATACTGGATGTTTATTTCCTGGATATCTCTAGCCCCCAAGCATGCTTGATATCTCAGTGCTGGGCTGTAATTTCATTCATTCATCCCACCACTGTTTATTCAGTGCCTACATGTGTGGGATATTGTCCTTGATGTGCCAGCATGAAGAAATAGCAGTGGGGCTAAATGAACATCTACGTAATCCCATTTCAGGGACCCCAAATTGAACTGATAATAACTAAATGGCCTTCAAGGATACAAAAAATTAAGGGTCTGCAGTGCAGAAGCCAAAAAAACAAGTTGACTGCTTAATGTTATGTAACGAGCCCAACTCCCAAACCAGTACCCCTGTAAGTGTGATTTGTGGACGAGGATCCTTCTGAAGACGATGACTTTCCCCACTCTATTGATGCAAGTGCAGAAACTGAGAATAAGCTTTAAAAATCTTTATAGCAATTTGACATTGCCGTTGACATTCAGACGCATGAGCAGTACATTCACATCACTGAACAGGATATAGACCAGTTGGGTATTGTCAAACCTGCCTGTCAGTCATGTGGGGACAGAGCTACATAAATTCTTGTGTAGTTGAACCATGTATTGAGCCGTAATGAGTAGGATATTTCTTTTAAAATAATTTGAGGATCACTGATTTGTACGTTATAGTGTTCTTCACGTTTCTCTTTAGGTTTATTTTTGTGTGATACATCTAATGTTTTGTTTTCCATTTTGGTCTGAATTCTGCTTTCAATTTAACCTGCATATACCTGTGCTCTGATCTGCTACAGTCATTCTAATGAAATTCATTGGTAGCATATTGAACTAGAATGAGATCTCTAAAGAACTTTCATTCTGCTGCAAAGACCGCAATTCAAATCTGCTTTAGTACCAGACACTATATCCAGCCAGAACCAAGTGACCCATTCCCTTCCCCAAGCCACCCTCTATCTCCGCACTACACCTCCCTGGAGTTTTTGTCCCAATTTGAACTGATAGCTTGGCCATGAGGACCACATCCTTCTGCTGATCTCCTCCGTTTCCATAGTCTGAGATGATGTATTGGGTGGTGCTCACAGTTCACCAACCAGTGGCACTAGCAACACCTGAGGCTTCTTAGAAATGCAGAACTTCAAGCCCCACCCCAGACTCCTGTATTGGAAGCTCTGGAAAGGGGCCCAGGAACCTGAGTATCAGGAAGAACCTTAGACTACAATTCTTCAATTCTTAGTATAGGAAAGGGTCTGCCACCTAGTGGACTTTTGGAAAACTTGCATTTTTCTTCCAGTCATCTCACCTGGGGAGCCATCTGAGTCAATTCTTGATTGGGCCTTCCTTTAGTCCGGGCTTATTATTTTAATTGCCAACTAGATGTTCTGTGGAATCGCTCTGCCTGGTAACACCTCCCTCTGGGAATTGAACCCTTCTGAGAGTCCGATTCTCTTTGCCTGGAGCCCTGATCCTCCTCTAAGTTTTTATGCTGTATAAGGCTTCTCCACTTGGCCCTTTCACACCCTCCTGAACTCTTCTCCGGAAACCACAGGGTCCCCCGAGACCGACAGGATGGGTCCTGGCAGATGCCGGCACCCCTGTAGCTGAATCTAGCCAGCCCTGATAAGCCCAGATAAATAATCAGACCTCCATACTTCAATGCTTGTCCTTGATGTCAACCAGGGACCTTCCAGAAACACTGGAACCTGGTGGGAGAAACAAGGCAAGCTTGGCCCACCTCACTGCTTGCATCAGAAAAAAGAATAGCAGCAATCCAGTGATTTCGCTGAATTTTCTCTGTAGATCTGCTGTGTGTTTTTTATCAAGGTAATTGAGTCTCAGATCCCAAAGGAGGCAAGAAAAATAGTCAAAATAATTTCACTAACAAGTTATTTTCTCTCATTATGAAAATTTTCTAATGGTTTAATAAAAATAATTTTTAAAAATTATTTGTAATTCCATCCTCCAAAGACAAATAGGGTTAAAATCTTTATTACATTTTAGTCTTTTTTCTGTGCATATCTGTTTTTTACAAACTTGGAATCATATTAGGCATACCATTTTTTTTCTTTATTGATTAAGGTATTACATATGTGTCCTTATTGCCCCATTACCCCCCCTCACTCCCCCACTCATGCCCTCACCCCCCTGGTGTCTGTGTCCATTGGTAAGGCTTATATGCATGCATACAAATCCTTTGGTTGATCTCTCCCCATTATCCCCACCCTCCCCTACCTTCCCTCTGAGGTTTGACGGTCTGATTGATGCTTCTCTGTCTCTGGATCTATTTTTGTTCATCAGTTTATTTTGTTCATTATATTCCACAAATGAGTGAGATCATGTGATATTTATCTTTCTCTGACTGGCTTATTTCACTTAGCATAATGCTCTCCAGTCCCATTCATGCTGTTGCAAATGGTAAGAATCCCTTCTTTTTTACAACAACATAGTACTCCATTGTGTAGATGTACCACAGTTTTTTAATCCACTCATCTGCTGACGGGCACTTAGGCTGTTTCCAAATCTTAACTATGGTAAATTGTGCTGCTATGAACATAGGCATGCATATGTCCTTTCTGATTGGTGTTTCTAGTTTCTTGAGATATATTCCTAGAAGTGGGA